AATAAATCAATAAAGACATCTCCAACCTAAGGACCCAAAGAAAAACAATCAGAGAGGAACTTCAGGTCCCATCCCTTGACATCTACTAATATATCAAAAAATCCCAGAACAAATAAGATAATTACATGTGAAAGCACACATGTAAAAAAAGAGAAAGGGGGAATCCATCTTAATTGATGTGTAAGTCCAATACATCTAAAAACATGAAGAAACAGGCAAACAAATCTCCCCCCCCAAAAAAAAAAAATTCAAAATCCCCCAACAAAGTATCCCAATGATAGTGATATGGACAAAATCCCAGAGAAAAATTATAAAAACCTGATTATTAAAATATTCAATGAACTAAAGGAAGATCAAAGAAAGAAGAGAACAAATGCAGAAGATAGAAGACCACTTCAATCTAGAAATAGAAATAATAAAAAGAGCTGAATCAGAAATCCTAGAAATGAAAGACAAAATCAAATTAAAAATTCACTTCAATATATCAATAGCAGATTAGATTGTGTAGAAAATAGAACTTCAGCTCTTGAAGACAAGGTATTGTTCTTGAGTACACAGAATGCAATAAAGGGAAAAATTATAGAACAAGAACAGAATATACAAGAACTCTGCTCCAACATTAAAAGACCAACCAAACCTGAGAATCATGGGGATAGAAGAGAACATAGAGATACAAGCAAAAAGCATAAAAGAATATTTTCAATGAGATAATTTCAGAAAACTTTTCCCTTATCATAAATTAGATATCTACATACAGGAGAAGGACCCAAATAGACCCATTCAAACAAGAAGCTCTCCAAGTCATATCATATCATAATTAAAATGACTAACATAGAAAACAAGGAGAGAATATTAAAACCTGCAAGAGAGAAATATCAGGTCATATTTAGAGGCAAACCAATAAGGCTCAATTGTGATTTCTCAGTTCAGATCCTAAAATCAAGAAGGACCTTGAGTGAAATATTCCAAGCTCTAAAGGAAACAGCTGTCAGCCAATGTGACTATACCCAGAAAATCTCAGTTTCAAATTTAAGGGGGAAATAAACTTTTCATGATAAGAATAAACCAAAAGAATTCATGCACATAAAGCCATCACTACAAAGAATAGTCTAAGATAAACTGCACACAGAGGAACTAAAAAACCTATTCCCAAAGCTCCCACACAGAGGAAGATCAATAGAAGTATAATCCACTAAATGAGAATCAAGACAAGATTAAATACAACAAAACTATAATGGCAGAAAACCATATACATATATCCACATTAATATTAAATTGTAATGGTCTCAACTGCCAATTAAACACACAAATTAGCAGGATGGGTCAAAAAAGAAGATCCAATTACATGGTGTTTACAAGAGACTCATCTCATGGACAAAGACCCCCAATAGGCTGAAGGTGAAAGAATGGAAAAAATATTCCATGCATATGGAACCCTTAAAACAAGTAGGAACAGCTATTCTCATATCTGACAAAGCAAATTTCAAGCAAAAAATAATCAGAAGAGACAAATAAGGCCATTACATCCTGGTAAAGGGGACAATCCAGCAAGAAGATATAACAATAGTAAACATTATGCTTCAAATGTCAGCAACACAATTACATTAAAAAAAAATGCCGCGACATCAAATTCCACATAGACCCAACCACAATAATACTGGAGGATTTCAACACACCCTTACTACCAATAGACAGGACATAAAAACATAAATCAATAAAGACATCTCCAATCTAAATGATACTATAAATCAAATGAACCTAACCCCAAAGAGCTAAATTTATATTTTTCTCAGCAGCACATGGAACTTTTCTCAAAATAGATCATATTCTAGGCCACAAAGCAAATCTTACCAAATATAAAAATGTTTCTATAATCCTATGCATCCTATCAGATCACAATGGAATGACACTAGAAATCAACAGCAAGACAAATAATAAAAATTGCATAAACACATGGAGATTTAACAATACTTTCTTAAATGAAGAGTTAATCAAAGAAGAAATGAGAGTAGAAATCAAGAAATTCTTAGAAATGAACAATAACAGGGATACAACACATCAAAATTTCTGGGACAATATGAAAGCAGTTCTAAGAGAAAAATTTGTAGCACTGAATGCCTACACTTAAAAAATAAAGAGATTGAAAATAAATAAGCTTATTATCCATCTCAAGGCCTTAGAAAAAGAAACAAAAACTAATTCCCCATACAGTAGAAGATAGGAGATAACTAAGATCAGAACTGAAATCAATGAAATTGAAAACAAGAAAATAATATACAAGGTCAATGCAATGAAGATTTGGTTCTTTGAAAAGATAAGATAAACCTTTATTCAAACTAACCAAAAGAAAGACAGAGATGTCAACATGATTAGAGATGAAAAAATAAATATCATCAGAGATATTTCTAAAATTCAAATGATTATCAGAACCTATTTTAAAATTTATATGCCAATAAAATGGAAAATCTGGAAGACATGGACTAATTTTTAGACACATGACCTCTACAAATTGAATCAGGAAGATATAAAAAAACCTAAACAGACTAATATCAGGTACTGAAATTGAATTAGCAATTAAAAAGCTTTCCTCCGACACACAAAAAAAGACCAGGACCTGATGGATTCTCAGCTGAGTTCTATCAGACATTTGCAGAAGAACTAATATCAGTCTTTCTCAAATTATCTCATGAAATTTAAAGGGAAGGAACACTCTCAAGTACATTCTATAAAGCCTGTATAAATAACCCTGATTCCAAAATCAAAGATGCATCAAGGAAAGAAAACTATAGACCAACATCCCTGATGACCATAGATGCAAAGATCCTTAATAAAACATTAGCAAACTGCATCAAAAACATATAAAAAAGATAATCCAGTGGGTTTCATTCCAGAGACACAAGGTTGGTTCAATATATACAAATCAATAAATGTAATTCACAGCTTGAACAGAATTATGCATGACAATCACATGATCATCTTAACAGATGCAGAAAAGGCCTTTGACAAAATCCCAACGCCCATTTATGTTAAAAACACTGGAGAAGCTAGAGTTGAAGGAACTTACCTCCGAATTGTAAAGGCCATTTATGACAAACCAAAAGCCAACATTATACTGAATGGACAAAACCCAAAAGCATTTTCTCTTTAATTGGAAGAAGAAAAGGTTGTCAACTTTTACCACTCCTATTCATTATAGTTCTCAAAACATTAGTCAGAGTGATCAGAAATCAATAAAAAGAAATCAAAGTGATACATATAGGAAAGAAAAGAAGTCAATCTATGTATGCCAATGACACAATCCTATATCTAGAAGACAAAAAAAAAAAACACATACACACACACAAACAAACAAATAGAAAACAACGTCCATCAAAAGATTTTTAGAGTTTATAAATGAGTTCATCAAAGTATCAGGATACAAGATCAACACCCATAAATCAATGTCTTTCCTAGAGTCCAAAACTGATTCAGCCAAGGTACAGATCAAGAAAACCACCCCATTCACAATAACCCCAAAATAAAAATGAAAAATAATAAAATAAAATACTTGGGAAATAATCCAACCAAGGAGATAAAAGAGCTCTACAATGAAACCTATAGAACATGGAAGAAAGAAATTTAAAAAGACTTTAGAAGATGAAAAAACACCATGGATAGTCAGAATTAATGTCAAAATGGCCACACTACAAAAAGCTATATACATATTCATATAATTTCCATCAAAATACTAATGACATTCTTCACAGAATTAGAAAAATAATTTTTAAATGCTTTGGAGTATAAGAACCTGAGAATAGCCAAAGTCATACTAAGCAAGAAAAGAAAAGCAGCAGGAATCACAATAACTCATGTAAAATTATACTACAGAGCTGTAGTAAAAAAAACCAGCATGGTACTGGCATAAAAATCAACATGAAGAATAATGGAACAGAATAGAAGACACAGAGACAAATAGAGATAAATTCACTTACCTACAGCCATTTAATATTTGACAAAGATGCCAAAATACATTTTGAAAAAAAGACAGACTTTTTAACAAATGGTGCTGGGGAAACTAGATAGGGTCCTACTTTCATTTTTATACGTATACCTATCTCTCACCCTGCACAAAACTCAAATCAAAATGAATCAAAGATACAGGAATTAGATCAGAAACCTTGCAACTACTAGAAGAAAACAGAGTCAACCCTCAAGAGCCTAGGTGACATCCTTAAAAAGACACCCAAAGCACAAGAAACTAAGCCAAGTGGTATATTATTAAACTACTACAGAAAAGCAAATGATTAAGAGCCTAAAGCATACAGAATGGGAGAAAATCTTGGCTAACTACTTCTCCAATAAGGGAATAATATCCAGAATATACAAAAAGCTTAAAAAAATAAAAAAAAACCCAAAGTCCAATCAATAAATGGGAAAAAGAACTAAACAGAAAACTCTCAAAAGAAGAAACACAAATAGCCAACAAATGTACAAAAAAATGTTCAGCATCTCTAGCAATCAGAGAAATGTAGATCAAAACTACACTAAGATTTCATCTTACTATAGTCAGAATGACAATTATCAAGAATACAGAGGCCGCAGCGTCCTAGTTGCCCGGATGTAGTTGGTGGAGCGGCAGCAGCGGCACCAGCGGCGGCGGGAGGAGGAGAAGGACCAGGCAGCAGCAGCGGCGGCGGCGGCGGCAGGGGGAGGAGGGGAGGAGGCGGCGGAGCCGAAGGAGAGGAAGGCGGAGGCAGCAGTCGCTCTCCACAGAGCTGAGCCGGACGCGTCTTCTTACCCCCCTCCCTCCGGTTCGCGCTGCCGCCGTGTAGTTGGCGCCGCTGCCCGGGCTGAGAGTGAGCGTGGTGTCGACCGAGGGAGATGGCCCGGGAGCGCCGGCGCCAGTAACGGGGAGGTGCTGAGAGTCGCCAGGGCGCGCCTGGCCCTGGTGCCGGGGCTGCCGCCCGCCCGCCGCCGCCTGCGCGCCCGCCCGCCCGCCTTTCGCGGCCGCTCTTCCCCCCTCCCCCCTCCCCGACACACACTCACAGGCCAGGCATTGATGGTAATGTATGCGAGGAAACAGCAGAGACTCAGTGATGGCTGTCACGACCGGAGGGGGGACTCGCAGCCTTACCAGGCACTTAAGTATTCATCGAAGAGTCACCCCAGTAGTGGTGATCACAGACATGAAAAGATGCGAGACGCCGCAGATCCTTCACCACCAAATAAAATGTTGCGGAGATCTGATAGTCCTGAAAACAAATATAGTGACAGCACAGGTCACAATAAGGCCAAAAATGTGCATACTCACAGAGTTAGAGAGAGGGAAGGTGGGACCAGTTACTCTCCACAAGAAAATTCACACAACCATAGTGCTCTTCATAGTTCAAATTCACATTCTTCTAATCCAAGCAATAATCCAAGCAAAACTTCAGATGCACCTTATGATTCTGCAGATGACTGGTCTGAGCACATTAGCTCGTCTGGGAAAAAATATTACTACAATTGTCGAACAGAAGTTTCACAATGGGAAAAACCAAAAGAATGGCTTGAAAGAGAGCAGAGACAAAAAGAAGCAAATAAGGTGGCAGTTAATAGCTTCCCAAAAGATAGGGATTACAGAAGAGAGGTGATGCAAGCAACAGCTACTAGTGGGTTTGCCAGTGGAAAGTCTACATCAGGAGACAAATTGATATCACATTCTTGCACAACTCCTTCCACTTCTTCTGCCTCTGGACTGAATCCCACATCAGCACCTCCAACATCTGCATCGGCAGTCCCTGTTTCTCCTGTTCCACAGTCACCAATACCTCCATTACTTCAGGACCCAAATCTGCTTAGACAGTTGCTTCCTGCTTTGCAAGCCACGCTGCAGCTCAATAATTCTAATGTGGACATATCCAAAATCAATGAAGTTCTTACAGCAGCTGTGACACAAGCTTCACTGCAGTCTATAATTCATAAGTTTCTTACTGCTGGACCATCTGCTTTCAACATAACATCTCTGATTTCTCAAGCTGCTCAGCTCTCTACTCAAGCCCAGCCATCTAATCAGTCTCCAATGTCTTTAACGTCTGATGCTTCATCCCCAAGATCCTATGTGTCTCCAAGAATAAGCACACCTCAAACTAACACAGTCCCTATCAAACCTTTGATTAGTACTCCTCCAGTTTCATCACAGCCAAAGGTTAGTACTCCAGTAGTTAAGCAAGGACCAGTGTCACAATCAGCCACACAGCAGCCTGTACCTGCTGACAAGCAGCCAGGTCATGAACCTGTTTCTCCTCGAAGTCTTCAGCGCTCAAGTAGCCAGAGAAGTCCATCACCTGGTCCAAATCATACTTCTAGTAGTAATGCATCAAATGCAGCAGTTGTACCACAGAATTCATCTGCCCGACCTGCGTGTTCATTAACACCTACACTAGCAGCACACTTCAATGAAAATCTCATAAAACATGTTCAAGGATGGCCTGCAGATCATGCAGAGAAGCAGGCATCAAGATTACGTGAAGAAGCTCATAACATGGGGAGCGTTCACATGTCAGAAATTTGTACTGAATTAAAAGATTTAAGATCTTTAGTCCGAGTATGTGAAATTCAAGCAACTTTGCGAGAGCAAAGGATACTATTTTTGAGACAACAAATTAAGGAACTCGAAAAGCTAAAAAATCAGAATTCCTTCATGGTGTGAAGATGTGAATATAATTGCACCTGGTTTTGAGTACAGGAACTGTAAATCTGTTGCCCAGTCTTAACATTTTTGAGCTGCATTTAAGTAGACTTTGGACCGTTAAGCTGTGCAAAGGAAATGACAAGGGGACGGGGTCTGTGAGAGTCAATTCAGGGGAAAGATACAAGATTGATTTGTAAAACCCTTGAAATGTAGATTTCTTGTAGATGTATTCTTCACGTTGTAAATATGTTTTGTAGAGTGAAGCCATGGGAAGCCATGTGTAACAGAGCTTAGACATCCAAAACTAATCAATGCTAAGGTGGCTAAATACCTAGCCTTTTACATGTAAACCTGTCTGCAAAATTAGCTTTAAAAAAAAAATTGGGGGGGGGGGGGTTAATTTATCATTCAGAAATCTTGCATTTTCAAAAATTCAGTGCAAGCACCAGGCGATCTGTGTCTAAGGATACGATTTTGAACCATATGGGCAGTGTACAAAATATCATGAAACAACTGTTTCCACACTTGCACCTGATCAAGAGCAGTGCTTCTCCATTTGTTTTGCAGAGAAATGTTTTTCATTTCCCATGTGTTCCATTTCCCTCTGAAATCCTTGATCTGATTTTATCCATTTTTTTAAGGCTCCTCTTTTTCTCCTTTCTTAAGGCACTGTTGCTATGGCACTTTTCTATAACCTTTTCATTCCTGTGTACAGTAGCTTAAAATTGCAGTGATTGAGCATAACCCACTTGTTTGTATAAATTATTGAAATCCATTTTGCACCCTGTAAGAATGGACTTAAAAGTACTGCTGGGCATGTGTGCTGAAAGTACATTGATTGCTCAAATATAAGGAAATGGCCCAATGAACATGGTTGTGGGAGGGGAAAGAGGAAACAAAGCTAGTCAGATGTGAATTGTAACTGTTGTAATAAACATGTTGAAACAAACAAACAACAACAAAAAAAAGAATACAAACAATAATAAATGCTGACAAGGTTGTGGGGGAAAAGGTATATTTGCACATTTTTTGGTGGAACTGCAGTCTAGTAAAACCACTCTGGAAAGCAGTATGAAGATTCCTCAAAACACTAGGGATAGAACCACTATATGACCCAGCTATCCCACTCCTTGGTATTTTCCCCAAATATCTAAAATCAGCATACTACAGTTACATAGCCATCTCAATGTTTATAACAGCATAAATTCACAATAGTTAAACTATGGAATTAACCCAATAGCCTGTCTTAAGAAATTGTGATATCTATCTAACTATATTCTAGTCAGCCATAAAGAAGAATGGAATTATGGCATTTGTGGGTAAATGGGTAGAAATGGAGAATGTCATGCTAAGTGAAATAAATCAAAATCAGAAACTTAAAAGTTGACTGTTTTCTCTCATACAGAAGCTAATGTAAAATAAAGGAAAGAGAAGGGAAGAACAGAAAACCATAAAGATAAAGGGAAGATTGGTAATGTAGAAGAAGATGGAGAGGGAGAGTGGAGAGATGGGAAAGGGGAGGCAATGCAGAAAGAATTCTTAAAATAATCATGTTATATGCATATATAAATATACCACAGGGAATTTCACCTTCATGTATAAGTAGGAAGAACCAATCAAATTTAAATAAACAGATGAGCAAGAGAAAGACTAGTAGAATACAGTAAATAAAATGAGAAAGAAGATGGAGGATGTTCAGGAGGCTCACAAACCGAAGTTAAATTCCAAGGATGTATGTGTTTGTTGGGATGAACCCAACTACTATGTATAACTATAAAGTACTAATAAAAAAAGAAAAAATGGTGAGAGTTTTTATTAACAGCACTCTACTTTTACAAAATGATATTTTAAAGGGTAAACAATTTGTAGAGCAAAAGTTAAAGCATAATCATCTTCTACTTTATACTCACCAGTTGAGTATCTTAATTCTGTGAATAAGAAAACAATTTTGATGGAAATGAGTCTCACCAGTTACAATAATGCTTGAAGTCTAAAATCTACATAAAAAAATGATTGTTCACTTTCCTCCCTCGCACATCTTAGACAAAAGTTCTTTCTCCCCACTCCTTTCTGACCTGGGTGGGAAGTACAGGAATTTAAACCAGCTATCTATGTGTTTTAGACAGGATTCTTGATTTTAAGTGAATATAAAGACAAGTATGGTTGGGTGTAATGGTGTATACCTGCAATCCCAGCTACTCAGGAGGTTGAGTTGGAGGCCAACCTTGGCAACTCAGCAAGACCTTGTCTAAAAATAAAAAAAGGGGGGACTGGGGGTGTAGGTCAGTGGCAGAGCATCTCTCTGGGTAGTTCAATCCCCACTACCAAAAAAAAAAAAAGACAAATAAAAGAGGAAAAAAATTATGAGTTCAGGTATGTTCCAGTGGTCCAACAGTTAGTTATGTGGCTAACAGTATATATTGGTACTTTAGAAAACTAGATAGGATGTTTGAAGGTGCTCTAACATTCTGATGACTGTAACAGCCAAATAGCAGGAAGGCCATTTCATGACGCTGTCATCACTCCCTGACAGTGAGGGTTAGACTCTAATCCTGTGGCTACTGGTAAGCTCAGAAGTTAATGAAGAAGTATCATGCAATTGGAAAACTGAAATTACATTTTAAGAACAATTTACATTGAAGGAAATAGGGTTCTAAGGTAATAGGAAAAAAAGGGAAATAGGGTTCTGTATAAAGAGAGAAAATAGATTAAAAAAATGGCAGAAAAGTATGTGTTTTAGCCAGGTATTTGTTTTGCTATGACCAAAATACCTAACAAGAACAACTTAGAGGAAGTAAAGTTTATTTGGGGCTCATAGTTTCATAGAAGGGAAGCCGCTCTCCTCATGGCAGCAAAGAAGCAGAGGAAAAAAAAAAAAGAGAAAGGAACACAGGGAAAAAAGCCTTTTCAGGACGTTCCCATAGTGACTCATCTCCTCCAGCCATGCCCCACATGTCTACAGGTACCACCCAGTCAGTCCACTAAGATGGACTGATTAGGCTAAATTTTTCATAATCCAATCATTTTACATTTGATTTTTCTACATTAATAGGAGCTTTTGTGGGGTACCTGATGTCTAAACCCTAACAGTATGCTAAATCAAATTCCATGAATATATTTTTCATGATAAAATGTATTCACTATTTTTTTTATTAATAGTATTCTCCTAAAAGTCATCAACTCTCTGTAGAGTTATACTTCATGTGACACTACAAACTAGTTATAGGAATACAACCATATTGGGTGGTTAATGACATAAGACCAGCTGTGAAAATTCAGGCAAATGAGATAACAAGTTCTCAAAATAGCATATTAAGTACATTGTTAAGTGATGGGACCTTTCAGAAGTGGCCTCAGTCTGCAATTTATGCATTAACATTTTGATTCCATGAAAATGTGTTTAGGGATTGGTGGATTCTTTTAGTACCAAGAATATTTTTCATTCATTTTTACTACAGAAGGATTGGTTGAGTATCTTAATTCTGTGAATAAGAAAACAATTTTGATGGTAATGACTCTCATAAGCAATTTGATCTTATAAAATGAACCACAGACAATGTCAAATGAACAAAAAAACTTAGAAAATGCTGTGGAAAATGAAGACCAAAATAACACAAGGAGAGGGAGACAAAGTTCTTAAAGAAATCCATAGTTTTTATTTATTAAACTAGCCTATGCCTTTAAAAAAAAAGATCTGAAAGCATCTGTAAAACTTGCAAAATATTTGAAACCCCTGCATATCAATTTCAGACAGTTTGCAAGAGTCATTCAGTTGTTTGCAAAGGAAAATATAGAATCTTTTCCCCTATGATATTGCACCTGGTAGGAAAGGTTTTCACAACTCTGTGTTATTAGAGATGGTAACCCAGAGGGCTATGCAGCAGTTATAAACAAGGAATTATTACCTGGACGGGAAGGGACATTTGTATTTCCATTGTTTGAATCAGATGGCTTATTCAGATCACCTTATTGTAGAATGTGATATATTTAGTAGCATAAAGAATTTTGAGTTCTTAAGAGTACAACTACAACTCTGGAAAGAAAAAGACTTAAAACTCTATTATTTACTCTATCACAGTGTCTCTGTTATCAGATGTATTTCTTATGTTTTCAGGGAATGCTTGACAGAAGAATGGGTATTGAGAGGTGTCACATGCACAGGACTAGTGTTAGTGGTAGATATGTATATAATAGATATATAAGGTGGTCCATGATACATCATGGATAGGATGTATCAGTTAAAAAGAGAGTTTTAGGGCTTGGGTTGTGGCTTAGTGGTAGAGTGCTTGTTTAGTATGTTCAAGGCCCTGGGTTTGATTCTCAGCACCGCATATAAATAAGTAAAATAAATAAAGGTCCATGAACAACAATAAAAATATTTTAAAAAAGAAAGAGTCTTAATAACAAAGTTTGTAGTAAAGATCCTGATATATGGGGATTGTGAAATGCTCCTAGGAAAAGAACTGAAGTTAAAGTGTTTATTATAATGCTATTAGTGTATTCAGCTATGAACCTATGAATGGGCCTGTATCATTTTCCTTTCTTTTTTGATACTGGGGGTTAAATCCAGAGGTGCTCTACAACCAAGCTACATTATTTTTGAGACAGAGTCTTACTAAGTTGCCCAGGCTGGCCTCAAACTTGTGATTCTCTGGCCTCAGCATATTCAACTTTAAAACCTGAGATGAGTTCTGATTCACCTTCTGTTAAATCAAAAGGTGCTCAATAAGTGTTGAAAGCAATCATATTATGGCTAGATGTCAGGCTAGGAGGATTATTTATACATGTTCTTGAATATTAATTAGTAAAAATCCATTATTAATAGAACTGTTAGAAGGATAATAGCTGGAGATACTTCATACATAAAAGATTGTGCTACAGATTGTAGTGCTCCAGTTAATGCATATTTAAACTTTGATGCTCATTCTGTTCAGGGAATAGAGTACACAACATGGCTAATGTGGCTAGTATAAATAGTATTTCTATAATATGTTAGGGATTGAGGTATTGGTAGCGAGATTTACATGAATCTGAGTGTCAGGGCTACGGTGGGTGCAACAGTAAACAGGAGTAAGGCTGATGTTAATGGTCAGAGTGATTTTCGTTTTTCCAGATACTCTGCATGCCCTAGTTTGTGAAGAACTCTGATTGCATCTGTCATTTGAACCGCTTTTTCTTCCCTCCTATACCAACAGAATCTTTCTATTTGTTTAAAATATCAGGGAGTGTACCGATGTAAGCATTTGTTCTGTGCTTTTGGATTTGGTCGGCAAATATGCCCAAGAGTCTACTGTGACTCCAGCCTATTCATAAACTTTCCTTCTGGCGGCAGAGCCAGGCTGCTCCACTCCAGTTGTCCTCCTGGCACCGTCCATGCCTGTGGAGAGAGCCAGCTACTCACCAACAGCACCTAGTCCCCTGTTGGCTCTGGAAACTCCTAGCTGCGGGCTTCGTGATGCCCTCAGGGTCATGGGTTCAGGTCCGATCAGGCATGAACTTGGTCCTGGAGACCTGCTGTTGCCGCGCCCCGCAGGTGGCGGGAGAGGCGGAGGCGCAGGAGGGCAGCAAAGCAGCCGGTCCCCCAGCTGGCAACGGCTTCTGCGGCGGGTGGTGCCCGACTGAACGGAAAAACCGTCGCTGGCGCCCTGGGCTGCCGTTAAGTGCCGCCCCTGCCGGCTGGCCGCCTTTCCCTCCTTCCCCGCCAGGGGGCGCTAGGCTGGAGGCTTGAGACCCTTGGAAGGCCCCGTAAGCCCCGCGCCAGCCTGCCTTCCAGCATTCCTGAGCAAGACCTTTGCGTGGCTCGTTCTCTAGACTCCCTGAGAAACTTCTGGGTGAAGGGAACCAAAGCCAAGCCACTGGCAACTGACCTTCAGGGAACTGACTCCCGGACAGGTGGAGACTGAATTCCCTCTGCTCTTCTTCCTCTGGAACTGGGTGCCCACACCGTGTCCACAGCCTCATATCTCCAAAGCCACTGCTGGGGTTGGGATGGTGCAAGGTAAGTGGAAAGGCCTCAAGGCTCTCTACAGTGTCCTCCTGGTGAACTGCTTGCTTGGTTGCTGCAGTCTTTTGGCTGTCATCCAGAATTTCAAAGCCGCTGATTCTGAAAGTTTACCATTTTTTTTTTTTTTTTTAAATCCTGTTTCTGGAGGGACAGCTTTGTAGAGTCCTCTAGAATGCCATTTTGCTGACACCCTCTTTTTGGGTTAGGGTGGTTGATCAATTCTTTTCTTCCTTTCTTTCTTTCTCTGTTTCTTTTTTAAAATTTCTAACAGATTGTTTCTTTGTATTTAAAGTGGGCTTCCTGTAGGTACCATATAGTTGGGTCTTTCTTTTTCATCCAGTCTGGTCTGTCTTTAAGACTATGTGGTAGGCACATGAATGTTCTCCTAAAAATGGCCATGCCCTAATCCCTGGACCTGTAAATATGCTAGTTCAGTTTTCAGATGGAATCAGGTTATCAACAGACTTTCAAAAAGGGAGATCCTGAAATCTCCATGTGGGCCCCGTTGGAGGATATGAGCCCTAAAATCCGGGAAAATTTCCCAGAAGTAAGAGAGTTTTTGAGGCAGAAGAAGAGGCAGGTGGACTTAAAAGTGTGAGAGGGACTCTGACTTTTGGTGGCCTTTAGCACAGAATGAAGGGACCATGAGCAAAGGCATATAGTCAGTTTAGGAGCTCCAACAGGCCTCAGGTAATGGACAGCAGGTTAAGAGATCTCAGTCCTGAAATATACAAGGGCCTGGGTTCTGTCAACAACCCCAGTCAGCAAGGAAGCACATTCTCTTTTAGTCTCCAGAAGGAAATCCTGCCCTAAATTTGGTTTTAGTTGGGTGAGATGAGACCTGTGCCTGACTTATTAATACTGAATTGTTCGATAATAAATTTGCATTGTTTTAAGTCACTAAGTGTACAGTAATTTGCTGTAGCAGCAGTAAAAAAACGAATACAGATCATTTATGTATAATTTGATTCTTGTTATAGTTGTGTTTAAATCTACTTTATGGCTATTTGTTTTCTCTTTATTCTATATATTATCATTATTTTTTTCTTTTTGTACCATCTGTTTACTGAATTTTTAAAAGACTTTTTTACAACAGTTTTAGGTTCACAGAAGAATTGATTGGAAGGTATGGAGATTTACATATATCCCTTGCTCTCATACATGCATAGTCTCCCTATTACCAGCATCCTGCATCATAGTAGTATATTTGTTATAATCAATGGACCTAAATTGACACATCATTATCATCCAGAGTTCATATCCTACCTTGGGGTTCACTTTGATGTACTTTTTTCATATTTTTATGAAACAATTTTTGTTCTGTTACCTTAGTGATTACTTTATAACTTATAGTACACATCTTTAATTTTGAACACTCTGTCCTAATACATCATTTCTCATAGTGTTTCTCTTTCATTTGACTTATTCTATTGAAAATATCTGTTTAAGCAATGCCCTTCCTGTATTTCTCTATTTTAGATGCACCTGGGTAGAAATCCAACCAAAAGTAGTAGCCAAATAAAAAGAGAGCTCTCATAAGCAGAGTGTTCCATATATGTATGGAAAGATCCCATAGTAGTTATCCATATGCAAAATGTTTGTTTTTATATAGTAGCTTAAAGTAAATTTGATATAACTTAAAAAATACTGCGTGGTTTGACCTTATATTAAATATTTGTTAACCTCTGACACAAAAAATATGGACAGAGGGATAAAGATGTTGAAATAGCAGATTGTATAATGGACTTGCCTCTCTGATGAAAAGGGTAGTGGGTGAATGCTTCACTAGATTGCATCAAGTAGGTGAATTGCATGGAAAAATATAATTGACAGAAAAAAATTGAGTTCTAAATGTCCACTACACCCCTTGAAATAGACTTTATGTTCCTCTAGAAGTTAATTTTTAAATTATTTCTTCTCATTTATATAATGCATGATTATCTGAGTTAAAAAATTTATAACAATATCTGTAAGTTTGAAGATACCCATTAATCCACCTCTTAGTAGGAGGTAAATACTTTGTTATTGCTGTTTTCTGTTTGGTATGCATTCAGTGATACATTCACCTAGAATATGTATAATTTATTTAGTTTTACATGAAAAGTTATTATATCATGCATGTTACTCTGCAATATGGTTCCATTATTCAAACAGGGATCTTCTATTTTTAATGTAAATTTTTAAAATTTATATATGACAGCAGAATGCATTACAATTCTTATTACATATATAGAGCACAATTTTTCATATCTCTGGTTGTATACATAGTATATTCACATCAATTCGTGTGATCATCACATTCCATCATCATTAATTACCCCATGCCCCCTCCCTTCCCCTCCAATCCCTCTGCCCTACCTAGAGTTTCTCTATTCCTCCAATACTCCTGCTCCCTATCCCACTATGACTCAACCTCCTTATATCAAAGAGAACATTGGGCATTTGTGTTTTTTGGGGGGATTGGCTAACTTCACTAAGCATTATCTTCTCTAACTCCATCCATTTACCTGCAAATGCCATGATTTTATTCTCTTTTTTTGCTGAGTAATATTATATTGTGTGTATATGCCACATTTTTTAATCCATTCATCTATTGCAAGGCATCTAGGTTGGTTCCACAGTTTAGCTATTGTGAATTGTGCTGAGAGGAAACACTTGTACTGTTTGGTACACTGAAATCAATTCTTCATCTCTCACTTATGGTGCCCCCAGGGCCATGATCATATGAAAGCATGGATGGTAGTGTTAAATTAGAACATATATATATATATATATATATATGTATATGTACATATATGTATGTTCATATATTGAGAGTTATATTGGATACATGTATATAAAGTTATGTATATATATACACACACACACATTAATGTGTATTTATACTGTGCTATCTCTGGCAAGAAAAGCAAAATCTTTTTGTTATTAACAAATATTTATTGAGTTTATTGTGATCTTGATGGTTTTATCTGGCTTTTTTGGTGAACACAAAAATATAGAAATGAATATTGTTTTTGTAAGGGGAACTGGGTTTTTTTTTTAAATGCTAGCACACTTTTATTTTTTTTATTTTTATTGATTTTATTTTTTTAAATACATGGTAGTGGAATACATTACAATTCTTATAATACATATAGAGTACAATTTTTCATATCTTTGTATATAGAGTTATGTTCATGCCAATTCATGCCTTTATACATGTACTTTTTTGTATTACAATTCTTATTACACACAGTTTTTCATATCACAATTTATACCACAATTATACTATAATTTTTCATATCTCTGTTTACATATAAAGTATGTTGCCACCTAATTTGAGTCTTCATACATGTACTTTGGATAATGATGCCCCTCACATTCCATTGACCTTGCTAATCCCCTGCCTCCTCCCTTTCCCTCCCACCCCTCTTCCCTATCTAGAGTTCATCTAATTATCCCATGTTCCCCCTCCCTACCCCACTATGAGTCAGCCTCATTATATCAGAGAAAACATTCAGCATTTGTTTTTTGGGGATTGGCTAACTTCACTTAGCATTATCTTTTCCAGCGCCATCCATTTACCTGCAAATGCTATGATTTTATTCTCTTTTAATGCTGAGTAAAATTCCATTGTTTATATATGCCATATTTTAAAAAATCCATTCATCCACTGAGGGGCATCTAGGTTGGCTCCACAGTTTAGCTATTGTGAATTGTGCTGCTACAAACATTGATGTGGCTGTGTCCCTGTAGTATGCTGGTTTTAAGTCCTTTGGGTATAGTCTGAGGAGAGGGATAGCTGGGTCAAATGGTGGTTCCATTCCCAGATTTCCAAGGAATCTCCATACTGCTTTCCATATTGGCTGCACCAATTTGCAGTCCCACCAGCAATGTATGAATGTGCCTTTTTCCCCACATCCTCTCCAACACTTATTGTTGTTTGTCTTCATAATACCTGCCATTCTGATTGGAGTGAGATGATATCTTAGAGTAGTTTTGATTGGCATTCTCTGATTGCTAGAGATGATGAGCATTTTTTCATATATTTGTTGATTGATTATATATCCTCTTCTGAGAAGTGTCTGTTCAGGTCCTTGACCTATTTGTTGATTGGATGATGATGATAATGATGATGATTATTTTAGTGCTTAGCTTTTTGAGTTCTTCATATGTCCTAGAGATGAGTGCTCTATCTGATGTGTGAGGGGTAAAAATTTGCTCCCAGGAGCAAACCTCATAGATTGTTTCTTTTCCTGAGAAGAAACTTTTTAGTTTGATTCCATCCCAATTATTGATTCTTGGTTTTAATTCTTGCACTATAGGAGTCTTATTAAGGAAGTTGAGGCCTAGTCCACACATGATGAAGATTAGGACCTACTTTTTCTTCTATTAGATGCAGAGTCTCTGGTTTAATTCCAAGTCCTTGATCCATTTTAAGTTAAGTATTGTGAGGTGAGAGATAGGGGTTTAATTTCATTTTGTTGCATACAATTTCCAGTTTTCCTAGCACCATTTGTTGAAGATGCTATCTTTTCTCCAGTGCATGTTTTTGGCACCTTTATCTAATGTAAGATAATTTTAATTTTGTGGGTTAGTCTCTGGGTCATCTATTTTGTGCCATTGGTCTCCGAGTCTGTTTGGTGCCAATACCATGCTGTTTTTGTTACTATTGCTCTGTAGTATAGTTTAATGTCTGGTATAGCGATGCCACCTGCTTCACTTCCTGCTAAGGATTGGAAAAGCAAAATCTTAAGCTGTTATCTCAGGAGAGTCATATTGATGTCACTTCAAATGAAGGAAATATATAATATTAAACTGTCTTTATAATAAATATTACTGACTTTATTTCTTTAATGGCATTAATAACAATCAATTACCAGTTTCAACTGTGAGCAACCCTCTATGAGTATAAACATTTTTACAATGTTCTCTTTAGTTGGAAAGTGCATTTAATATACCATTTTACTTTTTAATATTTATTTATATTATTTATTTATTTATTTACATTGGAA